GCTTAATTAGAAACAAACAGTTATTGTATCTATTTGAGTCATATAGCTAAAATTTACCATAAACCTAATTAACTTTAACTTAAAATTAAATCTTACACTATATATATGTATATATATATATAATGTATATATATATATACATGTGTATATATATATATATATATTATAGCTTGTCATACAAGTTTGAACAAAGCTGAAACCATGAAAGTGTGACCCAGTAAATTCTTTATTGACCTTCCTCACCCATATTAGTTTATTATTTATTTAAAAGTATAGCCGGTTGAAAGTAATTATTTTATTTCATATCTCTAACATCGTTTTCCATAGTCACAACATAGTGTTTCCTTAGAACGAAGACCGGTGTCAATTTCTTTCCCACATGCGGAAGCAAATAGAGCTGTGCGGTATCCTGAGAATTTTCTGGTTTCTAGAAGTTCACAAATGAACTGGCCTAGTGTGACTGCTAGGCCTTCCGGTTGAAAGTCCAGATCGAGGTCACGAGTTGCTTGTGGAATCTGCCAACCAGATAGAAAATATCACATCTAGATTACACATTAATTACACATTTAAAATTAATATAAAAACAATTTATATTTAAATGTTATGAAAATTGGCATTAGTAGTTTTAGATTATTACACTAAGGGGGGTTGCTCTTTATCTAAACTAAACACATATTTCTTCCTAAACCAATAAACTAAATTACATTATTTATGTGTGTTTAGCCCAATCGTGCTTAGGGTGCCGTTCAGGTTAAAAATTCTAATTCTAGAAAATATAATTTTAATTAAAGTATTTGTAGCAGCGTTCTTGATTAAGCATGGCATAGGGTTTTATAAACATGATAAACTTGCTCTGAAATCATGTGGATTCTTAAGATTCTTCCTTTGAATTGATATATTCAACGTGACAGTGTTATTATGGTTGCAAGGACAAGAAATTCACGAAGTCACACATGCAACCTATAAGGATACAAAATATATCTGCTGAGTATCAAAATACCGAAATCATTAAACTAATGATACGTCGTTTTAGCAAAACTATGATAAAAACTGGAGAAATATCGTAACCAGGAACGTCGAAAGCCAAGCCCCTTTATCTATTATTTTTTTAACATTTTCAAGAATTTATTAAAAAGAAGATCCTAAATTAGGACAGCAACGAGCTCATAAACTAGACAAAATCATAGCAGCAGCCGTTTTTACCTCACAGTATAAGCGTAAAAACGTTAATAAAGTAACAACATATATCTATTAAATCTATAAAGTAACAAATACATATTAATTATTATTCAAATTATTATTTCAGTCGTTCTTAATGTATCAAACGTCTATATGTAAAGAAAAGCCAAAAACTATGGTTTTTATCATTAAAGCTAGGTAAATAAACTCAGCCAAATTTTGTTGACGTTACTAGGACCACTGTCACAGTTAAGTGAAAAATAACGTGCTTTAATAATTTCTATCTTCTCTAAATGTCGTTTTTATTTTTGGGTTGGAGTAAGAGAAAAATTTCACCTCAAAGTATTTCGCTATCTGATTTCTCAAATTCACCTTACGTCATTACATTTCATCAATTTGATTCAATATACTCTTCGCCAGGTTAATTTTTATTTTCGCTCTAAATAGGTAGCTTGCTCTGGACGGAAGTTAATATTTACTTTAGATATTCGTTGACTTGTTTGAATTATTAGGCTTCTATGGCGATGCACGATTGTCCAATAATGAGGAACTATAGTGTTTATTATTTCAGTACTAATAATAAAATATCCAATAATCTGTTATTAATATATTCATATGTTGTAAAATCATTCCTTACAACTTCCATGCAAAATAACTTGCATTCCTCAATTCCTTCTTTGTCGCAAGTGACAGACATAAACTCTTCGGAATCTGCCTCGATTCTGTCTTCTTCGTCAAGACCATCTTTATCTATCACGTAGCCGATACACTTGCATACACCAATGTCTCTGATAATAATATGTCCATGTTATTTATGCAAACTTGACAAAAACTTTTGAATATTAGGATTCTAAATGGTAACAAAATATGTGTATACAATATTGTATTCAATACAGTATATTACTTAATTCAAAATCATTGCAACGTACACCTATATCCACAAGTTCCACTTTATTTTAATAAAACTAAATAAACGAAAACTGAGTAAATTCTTCCAAAAAAATTATCTTTGTTTGTTTTGTGGATTATTTTTCCACAAAACAAATCAGGAGTCTTGTAGTTAGTGTGCTGGTTTGTGCGTCGCATAGTCCTAGCCGCGATGCTGCTGAACACACTTCACACTTTCGACTGTCTGTGTGTATTATAAGAGCAATAGTCAACCTCGTTATTCAGTGACTAGCTGCCTTTCCTTTAGTCAGTTCAAAATTAAAGCTAAGCTGGCTATCCTTGGACGTTAGGATTCTCTGACTTAGCCATTTATCACATGTGCGCAAAAGGTACCATTAAGGTTGAAAATGCCAGTACCATATATTTAAATTTCTCAGTGCAAGTTTTGACACAGACTTACATAATTTTGAAAATTGATAAATACGTTTGGTAGATGCTAAAATGAAACAAACTTTTATAATACGCGCTATTAAAAAAAATAGTGTGTGTAACAAGGTAGGATTAAGGCGGGGGCTGTAGCCCCAGGCCCGATCTAAAGAAATACCTGTTATGACATTCTTAATAGGCTCCATAAAAAAAATTAGCCTCAGGCCCGTCTGACCCTTAATCCGCCCCTGACGTATAACATTAAAAATAATATTTTATGTCTAGTTCTACGCATATTATCTGAATCATACTTGAGGAATTACTGAATCTGTAATTATCATAATAATGTAATAACATTGTGATAATAAATTCATTAAAACTTCGATAAAATATTTTTATAACTTTTCAAGTGATAATTGTGACATTTCGTCTTGTAATAAAGGATTAAGAGTATGCAAACTGAATATTTTAGCTACACTATTTTACTAATATGGTCTAGCAACAATATTTAGACTTTTTAAACTGCTACAATTTCCTGAAAATTCTGTCTGAAATGGTTGTTACTAACTAGCATTAAAGTAATCAATCATACTCGGATAGATTACTCAGGTATGAATTTTATTATATTTTATGTTTGTGGCGAGTCCGTGTACTAAAGGATACTGCTGAAAGGAAAGCGTATTACATTGTGCAATATGTTAATATATAATTTAGTTTAGTATTTGAATACTACAAGCACTTCTACCAAACATTTCAACCAAAGTAAAGCTAAAATTTTGAATTTCAAGTTATTTTATTATTTGGACTTTTTCAACATTCATAATAATCACATCTTTGATTTTAAAAAATATTTTCAATCACGTACTTGCCATAAGATATAGCGCCCAAGGATATGGTGGAGATGATGACTAGAAGGAGCTTCATGGTCAGTCCTCACATGAACACTTTAATATCTAAAACGGACTTGTGGCTTATCTCAGTTAAACTTCTAATTTTATCTTTTGTGTTACACAACAACAGTTTGAACGTTCCCACAAATATATAACTGTAAAGTAATGAGATTTTACGCACCTGTTCCATAGTTTGCATTTTTAACTTGTGCCACCTTTCATACTTTATCAATTCGGCACAACTAAAACGAAGGACATTACATACAGGCCAATATCAAACTTTTCTAACTATATACACTCAAAGAAAAAAATCGTTCTCCATAAAAATTCACGGATAAGCCCTTTCGTAAAAACACCCCTAAAGACGATTTCTTTTGTTTATAGATACCAGAAAAATATTTTCTGGGTTTAATAACTCTAGAACAACAGTATTTTATCATTGTAAATTTTATGGACAGTGTTTATCCTCTATATAATAAGCCATAAGTTCAGATAACATTTAACTAAGTACTGAAAATCAACAAGTTAATTTTTCAATTGCTTGTGCAATGCATTTTTTCAGGTACCATGGTATATTTGGGTTTCTTAATTAGGTATCACATCTTCGAGAGAACAGTCTATCTCAAAGGCATACTTATTCAATAAATTAAACCTAAGATGCACTCTTGTTCTTCTATGTTTATTATTTGTACACCATGTTGTATACTTACAATAGTGAAGTTGACCTTCGCCTATCCTTTGAATGAATGAAATTTTACCATGATATGCAGCTAACATGAACCTCAATTCTTGCTTCTTTTGTGTGGACAATTTGCTATATTTATATAGAGATAATGTGTGGTCAAATAACCATAATTTTAGATCCAGTATCGATCATCATACGTTATTGTGATTTGGCTAATCCAAACCTTGTTCTGCTTTCTTCATTAAAGTAATTTCAGAAATTAATACCTAATGTTATTTACTGGCTTCTATTGCTTTGAGACATACCATGTATTTCGTACCTCTTTCATTAGTATACAATTAAAAAAAAAATCTATATATATATTGTCTGTAGTCTAATAGAATGTCACTCAATGAAGTCAGTAAATTCCTCTCGATCTAGTTACTCACGAAACTAGGTCATTCAACTAGAGTGCTTACATTAACTTCCTTGTGGGAAAAATTCCTGTAATGTAGAGCATATTTTATGCACCCAGTGGCACAGTGGTATGTCTGCGGATTTACAACGCTAATATCCGGGTTTCGATACCCGTGGTGGGCAGAGCACAGATAGCACATTGTGTAGCTTTGTGCTTAATTACAAACAAGCATATTTTATAGAAATAGACACAAATTTCTTCACTGGCCTCAAGGTTACAACATCCCTTGTTTTAAAGCGAGAGTGACTATTAATGACGTGTATAAACTATGCACTCTGAGAAGAATGGCATTGTTGTGATTAGCATATAACACCATGTCTTTTTAGGTTGGAATAAAAGGATTTGAAATTATTGCAAATATTGATTTGCTTTAAAGACGCCAAGAGCTCTCCAATAAAAATGCCACAAAATACACTTGCCTTAAACTTTCATTGTACTTGCATTAAAAAAACAAAAACTTTTCAATGTAAATAACTTGTGTCCAGTCTCTTTCCTTGCTTCTAATGGAGTCAAGGTTAAGAGAAATCATATTTTGTTCAGCAACCAATTTTCCTGTGAAACACTAGTTGTGCTGCAGCTCCTACTCAATTACTATAATGGAAATGATTGAACCTGCGAAAACCACAAAAACTCTAAAATATTACCAAAATTCTTCTGTATATTTTGAAGCCTTCTGAAGCACTTTATACATATATTTAAATAACTATCATTTGTGACATTGTCATGATATAAAACACTGTTTGGTTTACATATTAGTGAATATTTTATTATTGTTTAGTTTTTGTTATAATAAGAGTTAAAAGCAAATGATTGTATGAAGTTTTGTTAATAATCCACTGACGTTGAAAATATAGAAGGCGGACAGACGATTAAGTGATAAAAATATAAATAGCGTGAGATGAGTGGGAAGCAGCAGACAGATAATAGAATAATAGAATAAAGTTGTTGTGAAATTAACTACCATTGAAGTGATAGGCCTAACATTTAATATGTTAGAGTGAAACTAACAGTAGAAAAGAAGATAAGAAAAATAATTTTATTCCATCAAAGCGTGGTTCTAAAGTAATTGAATAAGACTGAGTGCACTTTGATAAAAGGAACAGAGGATCTTCAAAAGAAAGAATACCAAACGATTACAGTAACTTGTGCCACAATTGTAAGTGAATCACAAAGAGTACTAGTGCAATAGAAATAGAGAAGATATTTTGGCTTGTCAACTGAAATTCTAAAGTAATTGTATAAGCTTAAGTGGTTATTTGACAAGAAGGAGAGAACTACATATATAGTATTTATGATATGTCCATGATATCTAGTGTTGCTGAATTTATTGTAAATACGTTAACTTGTTGTGAATATATACTGTTAGGCCTCTGTTCGTTAGTTAATTTTCCGTAAAAATTCTTTCCGAAGAAACTTTAGCGATACTAGTCCTTTCTTAAATAAA